CGTGGTCGACGCTGCGCTTGAGCTTCTTCTTGGAGACCCATTTCGTCAAGAAATCGGCGGGCATGAGGTCGTCGGTGATCTTGACGACGCGGCACTCGCCGTCGGCCATGCGGCGCTGCAGCGTGTGGTAGCGGCGCAGGAAGTGGCGCGAGCGCGAGGCGGATTTGGCGTTGTTGGCGACGAGGACGTTTGCCTTGTTGTCCGAGAGGATGACGGTCGGTCCGGTCGGCGGGGCGCCGAGGGCGACGAGGACCTCGCGGGCGTATGCGACGAGCTCGCCCGCTTTGGCGCTGGCGATGGCCTCGCTCTCGTGTGAGGAGTCGACGACGAGGCCGATCTTCTTGACGCTGTGCATGACGGCAGCGCCAAAGCAGGTGAGCAGCATGCCATAGAGGTCGAGGTCGCCGTTCCAGGTGGCGTCGGCGGCGGCGACGAGCTCGGTGGGCGCGTGCGAGTCGAGCCCGGCGATGTGCGCGCTCATGCGTCCCTGCAACTCGGCCTCCGCGTCTAGCCCGCCGTACGTGATGCCGTCGTGCTTGCGGTCGTAGGCGGTGCAGAGCGCGGCGCGCGCTACCTCGTAGGCCTCGGGCGGCGGCGCCGACATGACGCACGAGAGGCGGCCGGTGGGCAGTGGCGGCAGCTGCTGCGGTGGCGGCCGCAGCACTGGTGGCGGCGGCCGCATGGCAGGCGCTGAGCCTGCGGGTGGATTGGCGTGTTGGGCTGGCGCTGGACCGCGATCAGAGCTGATACCATGTGACGGCGGAGTTGACGCCTCCGACGGTCGTAGCGGCGCGGCTGAGGGCGGCGGTGGAGGCGCCCGATAGCGCGGTGAGGATGGTCTCATGGGTCTAGCAAACCATAGACGACACCAAGAGAACGCGAGGTAAAACCCGACGGCTATGGATGGTAAAAGGCGGCGGTAAAACCCATCCACACGGGTTTCGGTGGGTTGGATGGGAGGTAGAATGTCTACCTACCGCAGCTATCCTGTGCAGTCAGGGCAAGTGGGGGCGGGGCGGAGTGCCCAGCGCAGGAGCGTGCGGCTGCGCCCACCTGGCGGGATCTCTCTACCCAGTCCGGGGGTGCGTCGCGGGACCCTTCACCCCGCTGTCGGAAGAGGCGTGCGGTGGAGCACGTCCGGGTGTTGGAAGTAAAGATATATCACTTTTACAGATTTGTTTGCGCTTCGGAATCGCTCTACCGTACCTCTCTCCCCACCGGGTAGACCGCTCACGCCGCACCGGCCAGCGCCGGTTCGAGCCGGTCGGCGCTGACCTCAACAGAGATGGCCGCGTCGCTCTGGACGGTGAGCTGCGCGGCTCGCAGCCCGGCGCGCAACGCGGCGCGCACGGTGTCCGTGTCGGCGAGGTCGAGCGTCGGCGCTCGCAGCAGCCCCCAGGCGGCGCCGGCGACGAAGCTGTCTCCCGCGCCGCGCGTGCTCTTGACAGTGGCGGCGAGCGCGGGGAGCTCCTCGAAGCAGACCTCGGCGTCCAGCCCAGAGCTGCGGCGGGCGGCGCGCGCCCACAGCAGCCCCTTCGCCCCTCGCGTGACCAGGACATGACGCACCCCGGCGCGCAGCAGCGCCGCCGCCGCACCTCGCACCTCGCCCTCGCCCTCGCCCCCGCCCTCGCCCTCGCCCCCGCCACGCCTGGTGCCGCCGCCCGGCCCGCCGCCCGCCGCCCGCAAGGCGTCGGCCATGGCGAGCACCTCGGCCTCGTTGGGCGAAACGAAGGCAACGCGCTCGAGTGGCCTCGCCCCCGGGGGCGCGGCGGCCGCCAGCGCAGCGCACGCGGCGGCCGCCTTGTCCACGGAGACGGGCTCGAGCCAGAGAGGAGGGCCGCCTACAGGAAGGGTCCAGGAAGGGTCCAGGAAAGGTCCAGGAAAGGGCTCGAGCCAACAAGGCGGGCCGCCGCTCAGCGAGGCGAGGCAGCGCAGCGCGTCGGGGGAGAGGTTCGCGTCGACGACGCACAGCTTTGCGCGGCGCAGCCCCGCCGCGTGAGAGAGGAGGTAGCCTGCAGGAAG